AGTTTCATCTATTTCTACCCATTTTCTACCCCTAGTTCCATATACCAAAACATATAGCTCGGCAAGGGCTTCCTTTTGATCTGAGCAAATCATGTTTTCATCATCGTGGATTTTTCGACTTTTTTCCTCGATTCGAGAGAATTTCTTTGCTCCCTTTCAATATCTCGTTATAGATAGGCATGTGGTAGTTTTTATCGCATATAAAAATATGCTTGTTATGGGAATTTCTAAAGCATGAAAAGGGATCTAGGGTTCTTGAGTTTTGGGAGTTTTAATAGCATGATTTTAAGTTGATTTCATAAATTAGGAGGTAGTTTATCACGTTTATGTTGATAGTGGTGAAGAGCCCTAATTTGTAATTAAGGGTGGAATAAAACGAAAGGAATTAAAGTTAAGAAATTGTTGGGCTATGTGTTTCATTAATAAATTAGAGCTTTGGTTGCTAAAACGAAGTTAATCGGGTCTTGTGATTGTTTAGTTAATGTCATGTTGTGTTGAGTTGTGATTGTGTATCAACAAATTGGGATTTTGTTAAATAAAAAAGGGTTTTGGCTAAGGGTTGGGAGTGTTGAGGACTTGGAACAACAGGTTTGGTTTTGAAAACAATATGATGTTTGTAACTCTTTTGTGAAATGAAATGGAAAATGGAAAAAAGAAAAGTGAACGGGGGAAATGGTTATTTGAAATGATTTAATTGAAGACGTTGATGGTTTGAAATTGGGGAACCGATTGTAGATGTAATTTACCAGAATTGTGTATTTAATTGTTAGAGGTTGTCTTTGGTCATTGGTGGAGAATGATATTGTTGTTGAATAGAATACATGAATGTGTTATATTTGTAGATTATCGATGCAATCTAGAATGTTGTGTTATGAGATTGGGGGTCCGTTTCCAACTAGGTTAGGCCGGTAAAGCGTAGCGCCTTAATAGATAGTTCCTCTCTCTTCCGGTTTGCGCCCAGTAAAGTGTAAATTGGGGCCTGTCACCCTCCTGTGGGACCGGTACAGCGTGGTGATTGAGATAGGTTCCTCTTCCTTCCGGTTTGTGCCCGGTAAAGTGTGACTTGCGGGTCATTCCCGTTCAGGTGAGGCCGGTAAAGCGTGCTGTGTTATGTGGGTTGTTTCATTAGCCATCCGTGCTTTAGGCCGGTAAAAATAGAAGTATATGTTATTTTCCGTTATTCAAGTTCACATATCTGTATGCACATAGATGTATTGTATTGTACTGTTGGAGGTGTTCTTTTGCCCATGTGCTTAAGGCCGGGGAAGGTGGTGGATGTCTTGATGGGTATGTGTGTGTAATGAGTTGTAATGTAAAGCGGAATTATGACTAGAATGTGTGATTATCGTTTTTGAGATGAAAGTTAGAATGAGGGAACGATTGATTGTTTTAAAATGTTTCTCTAAAGTAAAGATCATTTGAAGAGTTTCTTTTGAATCATAATTGATGAGATGAAGAGATGATAAACGGGTTTTCCTTGAAAGGGTGAAAAGATGAATTTTGAAAAGAAATTATATGTATTTATGTATGTTTTATTTTTGAAATAAAAGTGTCACATAACTTATATTGTATGACGTGACACATTCATGATCATAGCTATTTGTATGTTACTATTGTTTAAGACTATTTTGGGATTTCTACTGGACTTTCTGTTCATCCCACGTTGCTAATCATTTTTCAGGTACACATTGAGAAGTGGTTCAAGGTCAAAGGATCTTCTTTAATTGTTGGCCAAGGGATCTATACCTGTTGAAGGAATGCCATTGTTCTAAAGGGTTAAGCCCTTTCTTTTTATGAATTAATGTAAGCCTGCGGCCATTTTTTTTAATTGTAATTCATTTTGCATTCAATGTATATACAAATGAGAGATTTTTCATTTATCTATGGACGGTAATGTATATAGCTTCCGCATGTTATTAATGAAATTGGATTATAATAATGGATGTGATAGTACTATTTGGGTAATAAAAAAATTGGGGCATGACATAGCCTAAGTTCACTTCTTAGAGGTATAAGAAGACGATCCTGATCGGTATCATTTCAGCCCTTCAGGCTAACAAGTTGCTAAGGAAAGGGGTGTTCGGTTTATTTGGCTTGTGTAGTTGGTACAAAACTATCAAAGCATAAGTTAGAGGATCTACTAGTGGTGAGGGAGTTCCTTGATGTATTTCCTGAGGATCTACTCTTCCTCTGAATCGTGAGATAGAGTTTATCGTTGATTTAGTGTCAGTCACTATACCTATCTCTAAAGCACCTTACAGGATGGCACCTTTGGAGCTTAGGGAGTTGCAGACTTGGTTACAGGCATGGTTTTGAAACCCGGACTAGACCAGCCGATTGAACCAGAAACCGGGCTTGGTTCAGGTCTGGTCAACCCACAAAATTCATTCGAACCTGTGGTTAAACTTGTAACTTGTTCAAGCCAGTCACAGTTCAACACAATCGGCCAATTCGAAAGAACACTTGTGGCTTGCTTAAAAAATTGTTGCCAAGGGGATTGGAACACTAGACATGTCTTTAAGAAGAAGTCGCAGGCACCACTGAGTCATGCACCTGCTTTGTGAATGCTTAGGCAAATAAACTATACTTATTCTTTTATTCTATGTATGTTAAAATTAGATTTTACAATAAATTAATGTATAAAAAATTAAAATATTTTTAAACAAACATATTTATTTAAATATAAATGAGGTGCCAAATTTATTAAAGACTTTAATTGGTTTTTCTTTTATATTTTTGTTTTGGAGGTGGATGTTTGATGAAATATTTAAGAAAATTTAGGGTATTGGGCAAAATTTTTAAGACAAATTATTATGAAGTCACAGTTTGATAGCGGTTGATCTAACAGTTGAACTGATGACCCTTGACCCAGTCTCTTTTCTGGTTCACTAAACGGTCCGTATTTCACAACATCGTTACAGAAATTGTTAGACAAGAGCGAGATTTAGGCCTAGTATCTCACTGTAGGGAGCACCTGTCGGTCAATGAGGTTGTGCATTAATTATAGGGAGATAAATATGTTACAAATTACAATGAAGAATAGATAACTTTTGCCACACGATAATTATCTATTTGACTAGTTGTATGGAGCTCACACATTCTCCAAGATTGACTTGAGGTCTGATTATCACCAACTGAAGGTGAGGAAGGAGGATGTCCCCAAGACAACTTTTAAGACTCCTTAACAAATGCACCAACTGCATTCAACCCCCAGTTAATGAACAAAGTGTTCAACCCCCTAGTTCGATAAATTTGTAATAGTTTTCAGTGATGATATCCTAATTTATTCAAGTAGTAGTGAGGAGCATGAGAAGCATTTGAGGATAGTTTTTCAAATGCTTTGGTAGAAGAAACCATTTGCCAAATTCAAGAAGTGTGAGTTTTGGTTCAGTGTGACCTTTTTAGGTCATGTGGTAAGGATGGAATATTAGTGGACGGCACAAAGGTAGAGGTGATCATCAATTGGCTGGGACCTACCTCTGTGACTAAAGTGTGCAGTTTTAAGAGGAGTTCTCTCGTATTGTCTTACCATTTACCAATGTCACGAAGACGGGAGTAAAGTAACATTGGACTGATGGCTGTGAGAGTAGCTTTCAGGAGCTTAAGCAGAGATTGACATCAACTCCAATTCTTGCCTTCCCTACGGATGGAGGAGGTTTTGTGATTTATAGCGATGCTTCAAGGCAGGGTTTAGGATGTGTGCTTACGCAGCAAGGAAAGGTAATTGCTTACACGTCATAACAGTTGAAAGTACTTGAGACTAATTACCCCACGAGTGATTTGGAGATAGCCACCGTAATTTTTACGCTTCAGATATGGTGGAGGCATTTATATTCAGTCACGTGACACACATAGCCAGTGTTCAACAATTAACTGACTTAAATAGTGTTATGGATCAAAATGAATGATTTTAAGGACCTGTGGGTGTGACCACAAATACAATTTTTAGTAAAAGCTTTCTGGAATCTTTAAAAAAAATTTGCAAGTTGAACCACTGATTTCGCAAGATATAAAAAATCAACAAAAGTTCCAAAATTCTTCAAAAATTGATGAAACTTGCAAGCAAAGTTGGGTTTTCTGACAGGTAAAATATTTAAACACCACATGGTTTGATACAAAGGCAGTAGAGAGAATTTCACTACACTTGCAGTATAAAGCATGATTACTAGGTTCATTTTTGTTTAGCAACCTTTTTATGTGTGTGCACACACACGTGTGTGTGTCAAATGTCTTACTACAAAGCAGAAACTACTAAAGTCTGGTTGTGTGGAAACTTATATCCACCAATGGATCAAATATAAACATTTTCAAATAAGGTCCACACTTCAACACAAAGCCAACATAAATTCCACTTTTCCATGATGTGTTCATCAAGCAGGTCCCACATTCAACAACTTTATAGATACATGTTAGCTGGTCATCTCTTTTGTCTTTCGAAACATACTGGAACTATAAAAAGGCATGTATTAAGTATCAAGACTCAAGAGGCATAATAAATTAATTTGCCTTCTGTTCATAGCCAGTATTTTTTTTTTATCGGCGCTGGGGTGTCCGGATCAAAGCCCAACTAACCCCCATGGTGCACAAGCCTTCAGCAAACAGTTTCCTATAGGGAGTTCCAATGAAACTAATAAGTCTAGAAGTGCTGTGAAACAATTTTAGGCTAGATGATACTTGGAAAAATGCATGATCGTCCTTTTAATTGAAATAGATAAACAAACAAGGTACTGTACAGAATGGCAAAATCCAAACTAGAAGTTTTGAATATGTGATCTCCTCCGGGATCAATTTGCTGAGTACTACAGCCAGTAGTCCATTCTGACTGCTTTCCAAATGATCTTCTTTACGATATGATAGTTAATGAAAGTAAGTATTGAGATTAAACATTGATCAGTCATAAGTACTAAGATTAAACATTTATCAGTCAACCAATATCTTGAAACAGCAATAACCTGGAGACAAAAAAAATAATTTTAAAAATGGAGAATAGTGCTTCTTACTTGCAATTGTGTGCAAATGAGTTCCAGCTTCAATTCCTGAAAGATTATAGTTTAGTAAGCAGGTGTGAAGTACTTGTGATATTGAAATGTGATTGCACACTTGAGAAGTCATAATTAACAAAGCTTTACCTGCTCCTGAACTGCTTCTTTAAGCTGAGAAACCAAGGCAGACCTAGTTGCTTCAGCATTTTCAAGTTGCCTAACGCATTCCTTAAGTACATTTTCTTGCTCCTGTATCTCATCCACCAATATGGATCCTTGTTGATCTCCTGATTAAAAATAATAAACAAAAGATGGAAAATTAGATGAACCAAAAAAAGAATTTTGATGCCTGTAATGTTGAAGTAAACCACTCTACACATACAGGTATAAAATTCAGCTATAGAACCTACTCAGTAACACTAATAGATGATGACTTTAAACAAGTAAATCTCTTACATATAAGAAAGAAGATAGAAAGAACAGCCATCAAAGGGCAAATAATTGGTAGCAACTTTTTGGTGGATATGACTAAATCAACAAGTAACACAAACAAATGCCCGACTACCCCTAAGCATGCATTGCCATACAACAAAATGTAAGTCCTCCACTTTGGCAAATAAATCAATGTATAAGAAAATGCAAGTAGATGAGTAAGTGATGCCATACAAGTCCTCCAATTTGGTAAATAGTCTGAATATACCAAGTGTAATATAAAAAGCATATCATCAAGACATCTCAATAACTGGCCCATTTAGAAATTAGCATGACTCATAGCTGTATCATCCACTCTCGTAATAAGGGATTGTGTACAAAATCCAATAATTACATTAATTTCTAAACAACTTATAAAAAAACATTAATTTTCGAACCATTCTACTGTCTGTTTGTTAGGAGAAAACAAACTTAGGGAATGATAAGACTATCATTCTCTTTTTATATTGATAATATGTAGCTTACAACGGAAGCCTTGAGGCACAAATAAGGAAAAATACATAATAAGGAAATAACAGCTAATGACAGCTAAATTGAATAAGCAATACATAATAACCAAGATATTATTCTAACACTTCTCTAGCTAGTGCGAAGATCTCTCTCATGCCCAGCTTGCCAAGTACATCATGGAATGGTTTGCTTCCAATTCCCTTGATGAGAATATTTGCCAATTGTTTACCCGACTCCACAAAAGGAGTACACATAGTGGCACTGGTGAGTTTCTCCTTGATGAACTAACGATCAATTTCAACATGTTTTGTGCGGTCATGTTGAACTGGATTGTAAGCTATGTTAATAGCAACCTTATTGTCACAGTATAGTTGCATGGAGTTTGTCCGACCAATGCCCAAATCACTTAGCAGCAACTTGATCCACAAGAGCTCGCACACACCTCATGCCATGGCTCTAAATTCTGCCTCTGCACTTGACCGAGCTACTACATTCTGTTTTTTACTTCTCCAAGTAACCAAATTTCCCCCAACAAAGGTACAATATCCAGATGTGGACTTTCTATCAGTTACTGATCCTGTCCAGTCAGTATCTGTATAAGCTTCCACACGAAGATGATCATGTTTGAAAAAATAGAGACACTTTCCAGGAGAAGATTTTAAATACCTAAGAATCCGCATCATCGCAGCCTAGTGTGTCTCATGAGGAGCATGCATGAACTGGCTAACCACACTAACCGCAATAGCAAGATCAACAAGATCAAGACAAGAATGAGATAAATAAATGAACTTCCCCATTAATCTCTGATAACTTTCCCTGTTAACAACAGCTCCTCCACCATCAACACTAAGTTTCTGATTTGACTCTAGCGGTGTGCGTGTGTCTCAATTTACTCTCAAGCAACTCGGTTTCTTTCAACAGGTCAAGAACATATTTTCTCTGACAGATGAAAATCTCATCCTTGGACCTAGCAACCTCAATACCCAGGAAATACTTCAGATTCCCAAAGTTTTTTATTTCAAACTCATTTGCCAAATATTGCTTCAACCGGAGAATTTCCTCAATATCATCTCCTATAAGAACTATGCCATCCACATATACAGTGAAGGCAATTGTCTTACCATGAGAGGAATGTTTAACAAATAAAGTGTGATAAGCCTGACTCTGTGTGAAGCCATATTTGAGCATTGCCTGAGTAAATCTTTCAAACCAAGCCCTTGGAAATTGTTTGAGACCAAATAAAGACTTCCTAAGCCTGCATACTTAACCTTCTATCTGATGATCCTCAAAACCAAGAGGAATTTCCATATACAACTCTTCTTCTAGATCACCATGTAGGAAAGCATTCTTCACATCTAACTAGTGAAGTGACCAATCCAGATTATCTGCAAGAGAGAGGAGTACCCTGACTAAATTCATCTTAGCAACTGGTGCAAATGTCTCTTGATAATCTACTCCATAAGTCTAAGTAAAGCCCTTTGCCACAAGTTGAGCTTTGCAACACTCAATTGAACCATCCGCTTTGTGCTTCACAGTATACACCCACTTACATCCCACAGGTCATTTGTCCTAAGGTAATTCAGTCAATTCCCAAGTGTCATTCTTACGAAGTGCTTTCATGTCTTCTATCATGGCATGTTTCTACTCAGGAGTAGCAAGAGCATCCTGAAAATGATTGAGTATACTAACAGAAGAAACTTTAGACACAAAGGCTCTATAAGAAGGAGACAGTTAGAGTAGGATACAAAGTTAGAGATATGGTGTTGAGTACAAGACCTCACACCCTTCCGTTTAGCAATAGGAATATCAATAGCAAAATACTCAAGAATATTAAGGGTTTTAGATTTACCTAGACTCTCATCAAAAGAAGGAAATAACAGTGGATCAGAAGTGGTCTCTTGTATCCAAATAACTTTATGTCTGTCTTTGTCTCTAACATAGACTTTCCCTTCCTCGAGAACATTGGATTTTGTATTGCCCAAAATAGCTGGTTCATATTCTACATCCTCAACCACTAGTAATGATCCAAGAACTGAAAATTCAGGAATCTCTTCACAGCAAGGTTCTCCCTAAAGGAATTACTGGGACACTGGAGAGGACAAAAAGTAGGACTAGGACTCAAAAAAGGTGATATATGTTGGAATGTGTCCTGCATCGCCTGGAGTTGCCCTATTTATGCTACTTATAAGGCTCCAGTTTTCTTCTCCTTAATACCTGGGTTTTAAGGAGAAGTGTGGACTCGGCTTTTCAATTTGGTATCAGAGCCTGGTTGGACCTTTGATTGGTATGCCGTTTATTCAGCTACTGCATGTTATGGTCTAGGAGGGTGTGTTGGAATGTGTCCCACATCACCTAGAGTTGCCCCATCTTTGCTACTTATAAGGCTCCAGTTTCCTTCTCCTTAATACCTGAGTTTTAAGGAGAAGTGTATGTTGGGCTTTTCAATTACATCCATGGAGACAAATCACTTATGAGACGGAGGATGATAACCTTTATAGCCCTTTTGAGTAGGTGAATAACCCAGAAAGACATTTAATAGAACGAGAATTAAATTTACCATGAGTAAGGGAATGGTTGTGGACAAAGTAGACACACCTAGAGGTTTAGGAAGAATGGAAAACACAGACCTAGAACCTAAGAACACCTAAAGGAGAGCTTGTTTGTGCAACACTTGGGTAGGAAAACAATTGATGAGATAGGCAACAATGAAAACTGCTTCTCCCCAATAAGACCGAGGCACTTGCATAGAAAAGGTCATGCAACGAGCTATATCAAGAAGATGACGATTCTTGCGCTCCGCAACCCCATTTTGCTAAGGGGTATTGGTGCAAGATGTCTGATGAATAATGTCATAGGTGGAAAGATAGCTCACTATACCAGAATCAATTAACTCACCTCCATTATCAGATCGCAATATTTTGGCAATAGCACCAAATTGAGTACAAATCATTTGGTGGAAATTGCAAAACACAAGAAAAACCTCACTTTTTTCTTTCATAAGATATACCCAGGTAGTATGAGAAAAATCATCTATAAAAGTGACAAACCATTTATGACTTTTCAAAGACACAACACGAGATGGACCCCAAACATTAGTATGAATTAAGGAAAAACGAATCAAACTTTCATTAAAACTTGGAGCAAAAGAAGCTCTGTGTCATTTACCAAGTTGACAAGACTCACAATTAAACTCAAAGATATTATTGTTTGTAAAAGAGAAAGGAGACAAATACTTAAGTAATAAAAAAAAGGGATGTCCAAGACGCTGATTCCACAACCATAAATCTTTCTTAGTGGTGGAAAACTTGATGGAATGATTTGCCACCTTGTCTACCTGATCCAAGATATAGAGACAATGTTCTACTCTACCACTGCCAACATCCCCTCGCGATGAGGTTCTGAAAAAGACAATTATCAGGGAAAAAGGTCACACTATAGTTCAAGTCACGAGTAAGACGACTCAAAGATAAAAGATTAAAAAAGAAATTTGGAGCATGTAAGATAGAAGATAAAGGTAGAGAAGGAGTGGCATGAACTAAACATTTCCCAAAAATAGAAGAAATAGTACCATCAGCAATTCTAACTTTGTCCTAACTTGAAGAGAGCTTATATTCTGAGAGTAGAAGAAATAGTACCATCACCAATCCTAACTTTGTCCTGACTTGAAGAGGGCTTATATTCTGAGAATAAATCAAAGGACATGATCGGAGGCATCAGAATTAATAATCCAATGTAAAGTCTTATGAGATACGAAAGCATTGGTAGAAGAGACTAAGTTGCCAGAGTGAGCAAACAAAGAGGAGGGTGCATCGGATGGAGTAGTGGAAGAATGACGATCAAGTAGGTGGCATAAAGCATCCTCAAACTTAGAAGACATTCCAGAAAGAGACATCACTACTAGATGGAACAACTGAAAATGAGTCAGGAGTATGAACTGCACTAGTATGATGGGCACGTAGATTAAACCCACATCCTCGAGACCGTCTTGAGCGACCCCCACGACTACCAAAGCGATCACCATGGCCACCAGAAGGAACCCCATGAAGTTTCCAACAAGTCTCCTCAGTGTGTCTCGGCTGGCGGCAGTAATCACAAAATAGATTATCCTTTTCCAAGGTATTGGAGGAACTACGAGGTTGACTAATTCCATCTCTAAGAGGAGCTGAGAGTAAGGTTGAGCGCTTTGTAGAAGCCAGTGATAGCATAGCAGACCAACTCCTCTCCTCATTCTGCACATAAGCAAAGGCCTTCTAAAGAGAAAAAAGAACATCCATGCTAAGAACACGACTTCGAATACGATCAAATTCCAAGTTGAGGCCCTCAAGAAACTTGAAGACTCTTTCATGTTCAATGAACTTACAGTAACCATAGAATCAGTTATGCAAACACGTTTGTAACCCTATAAATGATCAAGACATTTCCAACCATTATTAAGAAAAGTACAATACTGAAGAACAATCATCTCTCTGTGGACTGAGCACTCAATGGAGTGACGTAATTCAAATGTTTGTGAAAAATTCGGCTTCCAAGAATAAGTAGTAGCCACAACATCCCAAATATCCTCTGTTGTAACCATAGATAAGTAGCCCTCACCAAATATCAGGGACTATCGAGTGGATGAGCCACCCCATGATCAGAGAGTTGGTAATCTCCCACTGGGCATAACCAGAATTAGTGATGCTAGGTGCTTTGATTCTCCCATCTACATAACCCATTTTCCCTCTGCTCTTCCAGAAAAAAAGTGTCAAGACACTTCGACCAAGCTAAATAGTTCTGACCATTAAACAGAGAGGTGGGGATTTTAAGGCTAGGATTGAGATTTTCAGATGTAGTACTCATAATGGGACTCCCCTTGAACTGGCAGAGAACTAGTGGATTCACTGGTAATGTCAGTCACCTAAGAACGCGACTACCAAACCAACAACTTATACTAATCACTACCACTGGTAGAGGGATAAACAATTGGGATCAAAGTATCTCTAATCAATCACAAATCATGAAGGGAGCAGTATACTTGGGCAAAAAATAGCAAGAGGTCCACATATTGACCCAAGGAACCAAAGAAGAGAAATAAGGCTTACGAGCCAATCAAAACAGCGAAATAAATGTCCCAAACTACTCAAAAGCATACCAACAACAGAGTTAGAGCCAAATAAAGTAATCAGACCATGAAAAAAGCCCAGAGGGCTGTTGACAGTGGCCTAGAAGGCTAGAAGAAGAGCCGACAGGGGTGGGGGGTTGTTGGTAGCGCCCTAGTAGGCTGGAGAAGGAGCCGACAAGGCTAGAAGGGCTGTCGGCAGGCCCTAGGTGACTGGACAGGGGGCCAACAGGCCTGGGAAGTGCCAAAAGAAGGGTTTTCTAGGTATAGAAGGGTATGGGTGATGATGGGTGGCTGTCGGAGTGATGGGTGATGATGTGGTGAAGCTGTGGTGGTGTCAGGTGGTGGTTTAGGAGCCTCCTAGCTCTAATACCATGTTTGTTAGGAGAAAACACACTTAGGGAATGATAAGACTATCATTCCCTTTTTATATTGATAATATGTAGCTTACAACAGAAGCCTTGAGGCACAAATAAGGAAAGATACATAGTAAGGAAATAACAACTAATGACGGCCAAAGAGAATAAGCAACACATAATAACCAAGATATTAATCTAACAACATGAACTCTTCTTAATGTGTAAATTACCCATGTTGGACACTCAACACTTGAGTAAGGGTATGAGATATGGCCCAATATGTGTAGTTCAATATTTACCTAATAAACATATATAGTAATTAAAAATTAACTATAATGCAAGAAGATCCCATATACCGCATGAAAAGCTTTATGCCACCTAGTAAATACGACTCTATCCTAAAAGTAAAAGAATCTTAAGAAATATGAAAAAAATTCATATCCCCGTGTCTTTAGACATAAAAATTAGATAAATCTAACACTGACACGTACCCTTTTTCACAATTTTCTACCTATCAGTTACATTACAACCAAATTAGGTCATAAGGTCCTAAAATGCAACCGTTTTCGTACGGGCTTGCGTCCATTTATCATGGCATGCTTATTAATACACTAGTTATCTGATCAAAGAAATTTAACTGTTTTATGTATAACCATTCTATCCTATCATTTAACCAACAACCATCACCACCACCACTTGGTTCAACTCAACTAGTCCTATGTTGATAACTATAATCTCCATAGACAGATTCAAACCTAGCAACCTCTACCTAAATGAAAGTCAAGCTTACCATTCCTATATTACAGTCCACAGCTCATGAAGGACTCCAATAGACCCTTAGCAACTCTAAGCCTTTGCCCTACCACTGGGCCTGCTATTCACACTTAAAAACACTTGTGCAAAGAATTCCAACACAATTCTAACATTTCTAGAACCCATCCTTTTTAAAAACAAAACCCAGCCCAACCCCCTTTTCTATCTATAAACCCTCCAGCCCAGTGTTATTAAAGGAGCGCCTAGGCGTGCGCCTAGGTCCAAGTCCCATCCAGACCCAAGGTTTGCGCCTTGTAGTGTTCCAGGCCAGGCGACTTCGATAAGGCGCGCCTAGGTCCCAAGGTTTGTGCCTTGTAGCGTTCCACACCAGAAGATTGTGATAAGGCGCTTGATTGGCCCAAGGCTTGCGTCTTGAGGACTTTTTTTATTATTGCTTTAATTGATTTTGTTTAAAATCTAACCATTGATTTAATATGGTGCAGCTACAGAAGATTCCTACTCTTATTACAGATGCTAATACATTGGGCATTCAACCCCAAATCAATGATAGAAGAAAAATTAGCCCTAATTCCTAGTCTCCAAAAAAACACTAAATGTTTAACATTTCATTTTGTTTATGTTGAACTCTAAATTATTTACTTATATTAAATTATATATTTTTTTCCCGTACAAGGTGCGCCTCACTTCGATGAAGCTTGTGCCTTGAGCCTAGGCCCCAGGAGACCTTGGCGTCTTAGTGTGCCTATCGCCTTTAATAACACTGCTCCAGCCCAACCCCCTTTCCATTTCTTTCCTCAGTTTCAAAATCCTATACCCATGAGTTGTCCTTGACCTAAGCCTTCTATAAAATACACTGAAATCGGCACTCGTCAGCAGCATTCCAACTATCAAAACCCTTTCCATAATACATTTAATTTAGAATCATATTTTGTAGAGTAGTATCTTTTTGCACTAGTCTTACATATTACATTATTTTTCACTTACTGGGGGAAAAGAAGTCCTGCATCTTAATTGCCAGAGAGGGGAAAAAAACAAACAAAAATCTTACATCAGTTTGATGTCACAGCTCACAAATCGTCTCATTCCCCATTTGTTCTTAAATCAAATGCAAATGCCAAATGAGTGGCCACAAAGTAAAGAACAAAATAAAAAAGTTCATCTATACATATATATATATATATTTTTAAATTATATACAATACAATTTAAATGTGAAATTTGCCTTGAAAGATGATTTAGTATGTGCAAACATGACCAATTATAATTTAATGGAAAAATGATGCACTTAGTTACTGAAGCAAGTAGAGAAAAAAAAACTCCTGACAATGAAGATATACAATGAAAGAACACTGGAAAGCATTTGTCCGAACGATAATCAATAGAATTAACATGATATGAATACTAAACGAGGACAGACAGGTCAAAAAATTTAATATAATTAAACTACTGAAGAGTGTCACTGATGAATTTTTTTTTAATTTTCACATACATTGCCATCGAAGTTATGCAAAATAGAGATAATTCTTACCATGAGCAGAAGTGCTTTCTACATCTTTCTCCATTTTCCCCACTAGACTAGCAGCAGCTTTACACTTGTTCAAAGCAGCTTCTTCGGTGACATTTTCATCATGCACTGACTGAAATGCAGTTACAATTTTTTCGGGCATAGCTCCAACAGCCAATTTCTGAAGATGACAACCAAGATAGGCATGACCAATGATCATAAATACAGTTTTTTCAAACAAAAATAAAACAAAACAAGGTCAAGTCAACCAGATTAAAAAACTAACAGAAAATTTGGCAAATACTTACAATTCTTAAGGAGTGAGCATCCCTCTTTACTATCTTAATAGGATTTGCCATCTTTCCATTCTAACAGAGAGGGGGGGGGCGGGGGGGGGGGGGGGGGGGGGGAGGAGGAGGATCCTTACCCAAGATTTCATCTTTAAGATTCTGACCCCGAGATCCAAAAACTTTCCTCTCTTCCCATATATCCACCTGATTAATAAAAATAAAAATAAAAAATATATATATATGAAAAAAAGCCCCAAAATATCAAATGAAAAGAGGCATAATCAGGATAAAATGTTAGAAGTGCACGCAAATTAAATTAGCATTAGTTTAAACTAATATATTATCCAATAAGAAATGCTACAACAAAATAGAAATTTTTCAAAAACATGCAAATGGAGTAATTGATGCTGATCTTAAAATTATCATCAACATTACACAACCAGTGCCATCATATGGTAGGGAATGGGGCTGTCAAGTAAAGAAACAAAGGTAGGTAGGTTGTACAACAAAATGAACGTAGAGTGAAAAATACAAATATGCATCATCGTTAACATCAATAGTGTCTAAAAGCTATGATTGATTCATGATTTACTTGCATTCCTCCTATTATGTAAAGCATAATTTGTTCATTAACATTACAATGGAGAAGTTCCATATTTAAGTGAAGAAGGAAGAATCATTAACCAAAAATGCACCATGGTCCCAAGCCTAAACAAACTACACAAGTAAAACTATATCATCCTCCATGTTGTAATGCAAATCATGTACGTGCGTACACACCTAGGTACAACTATGACATATACCAACAATGAGCTTTTCCTTAGTAGGTACAAGTGATGTGCAAAATTCAATGATCATAGGTCTCAAAACTTCAAAAGTAACTTATATTTTATACCAATTATAGACGTACAAATAGTTACGTTGCTGTTTTGAAAGAGAAAAAAATAACGCACGTTCTAGTCAGGGTTTAAGTAATGGTTAGAGCCTTTGTAATGGTAATGGAGACAGTGTAATAAAAGCGGAGTGTAAGGGATATGCATGGTAGTAACAACGGGAATCTTGATTTTTTTCCCATCACAACTCCCCCAAGTATTATCAATATGTATGTACTTTTTTTTTTCAAAATCATATATAGTTATGAAAAATGGCTTCTATTCTTCTTTTTTTTTTTACAACTTGGTATCGGGCCCATTGGACAGACTACTCTGAGGGACCAATCCCACCATTCACTAGCGGGGGCCCAAATTAAAATGGCTTCTATTCTAATCACTATTAAAACGAAGTAGCCTTCCATTTATAAATTTATCATGAAGCAAGAAGATACAAATTATCTTACAAAAATTAAAATATAAACTAACCATAAAAAATTTAACAAAATTTAATAGTCAACTAAAAATAATATGAATAATAACAAAATATGTATCCAAGCATTCATTTGGTTAAGTTGCCAATTTTCCCAAAAGCTTAGATTGTTGGGCCCAATAATGTGTATTAAACTATCCAAAACCCTCCTTCACATGAAACCCTCTCTTGCACGTGAAGCAACAAACAAAGAACCAAACAGAAGGAGAAGCAAACAACCAAATGGAGAAGAAGAAACCAAACGGGGACCAAAAATCAAGTACTAACAGGTAGACTTGAACCCCAAGACCTCTCTCAACCTGAGCTCTGATACCATGTTAAGTTATCAATTTTCCCAAAAGCTTAAGGCTTCATTTGGGAACAAGCTATTTTATTTTTTGGCTTTTTTACGAAAAGATATGCAGAAAAGTAAAGAAAGTGATGTGACAACTTATAGTGACTTTTGACTTTTAAGCTAAAACGTGTTGTTGCCAAACGATGCCTAAGTTGTTGAGAAATAGGCCCAACAATTTATATCAAGCTATCCAACAAATTCATTCATTCACAAATCTAACATACAAAGTTACAAGCTCTAAGTTATCTTACACAAAAATGAACAATATCCAAGATTTTTCAACAAATGAAAAAGTCAAAAAAATTTGAAGAAACTTGACCAAGAAGCTTCAAGGGTTTGATCTCTAACTCCCAAGCTTAGCGCTTCAATTTAGTGGAGAAAACCCAGAGACATAGCTTTCCTTAAGCTTCCCAGAAAAGTGGGAGCTAATTTTGGCGTAAGAGAATGGGCAAAATAGATAAAATCTGGTTATTATTGAATATATGATGAACATACCATAATGGTGACCCTATTGGTTGTCATAGTACCATTTTGGGCCAATGTGAGACTATTACGACCCTATTGGTCATTATATCTCAATCTCGATCTAAATTTTAGTTTGACATTGATGACAAAGGTTTCTTACTTCTAAAGAGGATTGGGAGATCAGTGGTAAGTTAGAGTTGTCTACTATATTTAATGGCAAGGGTGATTATTTAAGTAATGACTGGATTGAACAAGTGGTGAAGAAGATAATGAGTTGGTTGTTACTCACAAAAATATGGTAGAAAAGATTGATGGTGATTCTAAGAAGAAAAAAAGAGGGGTGAAATTATCTTCTAGAAATGATAGAGAGCTTAAAAGACTTCAATTTAAAGTAAATTGTGATGGTCGGAAAAGGAGTAAGCCTTTAGTGCGGCAGTGCATTTAAGGCAACATCGATGGGTGTTTGGATGAGAGTAATAGATGATTTTATCTTCTAAAGGTTTCAAACAATCCCATTCTAGAGAAACAATTTTGCCTAAAAAGCCTGCCTACACTTGTATGAGAGGGTCCAAAAACGTCACCAGAAAGGTCAAAGACCGCCGGAAAAGTCACTGGAATCTTCTAAGGCTCGCCGGAAAACTCAAATGTCGTTGGAAACTCTGAATGGAAAATTCAAATGTCACCAGAAACTTCGAATCTCCTAGAAATAAGTGGTAAGGCTAAGATTCTTCAATGGTCACAACTAAGGGAAACTTGCATAGAGAAGCGATGATGAAAAGAAAAGGTTGGGTGAAGAATAACGCAAAGAAGCTAGAGAGAGATAATCATCCATAGATCCCACTTTCACTCTTAAGGAAGGAAGATGAGATCCCAAATGATGTCCCTCTCTAAAATTCCTCCTCCTTAAAGTTATAGGAAGTGCTCTATATATAGGCAATTCACGTGTTGGAGTCCCATGTGCCTTGCACATGGGGAGAATATTCTCTCTAAGTACTTTGTCTGAGGTGATCTCTCCGAGGATGAGAAAAGCCCCAAAAATGAGATCAACCCCTCAGTTAACCTCTCTTCTTAGCCATACCAAACCAATACTCCCCAACCATTCCAAAGGGTCGGGGTAGTCCTAGAGGACTTCCCACCGCTAATATTGCTGAGTCTCATGAACTCCCCAAGGTTGTGCCATCTAGACCCAAGTATAGGCTAAATGGACCGATGAGTGAATTTATCTCCACCTACTATCCTCGGGATCCAGGCCCTTTGTTCGGGCTTTACCGCACTCATGTTTCTGGTGGGTTGATCCCAGAATGCTCCAAATCCACAAATGTTTTGGGACTTATCAAAGAAGCAACCTCTAGATTGCAATTGAATCCATTTGAAACCTGAATGCCTTGGATCTCTAGTCTTGCTCAATGCCCTTTTGAGTCCGGACCCGAACAAGTCACTAGATTCGTGGATCCGAACCCTTTCAAGGCTTAAAGCAATCCGACCCGTTTGATGGCGATAAATCCGGGCCCACTAATTTTAAACATGCACCTTTTCCAACATCCCCGAACTTGCTCACCTACTTGATTTTCTCGGGCATATCTTGTCTCACTTCCCCGAACGTATTTTGTCTCTATGTGATTTATGAATAAGGTTGATAACTCATAATGATAAAAAAGAATCTTTTGATTATTTTTATTCTTGTACCACATTTGGGACACATTTCTGTACCATTATTTTTTTTTTTTTGATTTTTAAAGCAAATCAAGCCTTAGTATTTAATTCTTCTACAACCTGGACAACTCCAAAATCATTTCTTTCTTCTAGAATATTTGAAAAATCAACCTTTTTGTGGTTTCTCTTACCAACAGCCACAAACCAAAAAAAATAATCATTTTCTTGAAACAAATAGAAACAATGGCTTGACCTTCTTTTTATTTTGAAAAGTCTAACCAGGACCCACTTTTTTATTTCTAGAATATTTGAAGGTCTCTAGAATCAAACTTTTTGCTCCAAGCTAAGGGACAAAAACCCTTGTCCTTATCTTTTTGCCAAACCCCAATTTTCTCTTTGCAAATCAAGAAAGCAAAGACCCCAGACTTCAAATTTTTTTTTATGTAAACACTGAACCAGAGCTTCGTCCTTCCTCGAAAACCATTGACGACAACCACCGTCATAGCCGCACCATGGTTCTAGCTCACCCAGTGTCGTCGGTGCCACGGCGTAGCCCCTTAGCCTTGTCAACTCGTGCTGACACCAGCCCAGCTTGTCATCGGTCTCTCTGCTTCAGCTTCACTTGTGTTGACACTATGCGCACTCACCACTGCTTCGCCCTGAGCCGCAACACTACTCGGCCACACACCATCCGTCTCACTTTGCTTACGCACTGTGATTGCGGATTTGGGTGACTCACCGCTAACTTATCCTCTCGTCTATTTCGGATCGGTGGGTAAGTGTTTAAAACCCTCTTTCCTCAATTTAGAGATCTGTGGGTGAACTTCTGAAACCTTTTTCTTTTTTCAATATATCTTATGCTTAGGTGAACTCTGAGCTTATGAATTTTGATAGAAGCTTGATACTGACACTAGGGTTTGCAATCTTGATTTTGTAATAATCTGTTGAGTTTTGTTCATCATCCGAATCTGAATTTTGAGAGAACTTTCTTGAACTCCATGGCTGATTTTGTAAGACAAAAACAAACCATGACATTGCACTCTTGTTGATATTTAAAACTTGAGCCCGTGCATTGCTAATCTTGATAAAAACAGAGCTATTGAAAATGTTGAGTATTCGCGGGTTGCCTTTATAAATTTGTTCATTGCCATCCTTGTGAATGTTGGAATAATTATTGTTGAGTTCTTCTTGTTGAATAATTGACTGTTTGTAAAAAATAAGCCCTTGTGTGTTGACTGTTGCTACTACTAAGAATGTTGAATAATAGCATCGACCTCTTAAAAGTAGAATGATCCTTGCATGTCTTGTTTGAGGTAGTAATGGAGCAATAGAGCAGAGAGCCATGTACTGTCATGTGTTGAGTTTGTGATCCCAAACGTGGTACAAGAAT